CTATTAGCAAGGAGTTATCTGGTTTGGAACATCTTGAGAAACTGATTGATAATCAGGAGAAACATAAGGTTAAGGAGTAACCAGACACTTAGGAGCTAGCTTGAAATTCCTATGGATAGCAGATATACTGATTGGGATACCTCATTGTTTCTTCAGAAACAATAGGTAGCTTGCAGCAACAGGGTTTGGGATTTTTACTTGTTGTGAACAAGTCTCAGTGTAGCATGACTTTTCCAGATCTTGCTATAGTCTTTTAACAGGCTTAAGGCAATTATTGGAGTGTTCATAACCTTTTGTGGGGAGGACTTCCACCAGTCATCCCAGGAAAAGTATGACAACACTTGTGGTCAGGGCTCCAACAGGCTGGATGCTGTGATGAACCCTTTTCCATTGTTCAAATGTTGCCCATACCCCCTCTGACTTGGTCTCTTTGCCTCAGCATTCCCTAACCAGGCACCTGAGTTTTAGTCAATCAAGTTTAAATAGGCCTCCCATAGTGGGACCAGGGAATGTACGGTCCGAGATGCCTATTAAACTTTACTTCTGCTTAGTTCTGGTTAGATGAGGTGTGTGTGTGGAGGGGGTGGGGGGGGGGAAGGTCCTTCGTAAATCCAGATTAGAATTGGTCTGATAAATGCTGAGCTGGGTGTGTGTAAATGTGGGTTGTGCATTTGGAGCACAGATTCCCCATCATGCAGTGCTCGCCTGCTTCTCTGATCCCAGAATTCACTGCAGTCTTTCCTTCAGGCATTCTGTTCTCCATCTCCCATGTAAATGAATGGTCATCTGGTTGCATCTTAGATACAAATGAGACAGGGCAGCTGCTCCCTTATCTGGAGGGCTTTAGGTATGTCTCCCACTGCATCTTAATCAGTTTTGTTTAGGAAGAGGGGGGGAATTCTTTATGAGTCAGACAGGCTGCGTCCTGTGCTAGGGTTTCCCAGCAACACAGAGCTGAGAAGTAACAACACACACATGCGCACGCGCACACACACACACACACACACACACGTAGCAGGACAGAAAAAGGCTTGGTGGAGGGATTGAAGTCAAGGTGTGTAGGGACAGATCCAGGTCCTTTACTTGGGGAAGGAAGGTGAGTGATAGCGACCTATCCTGGGCTGCGAGCTGATCCTTAATGGCAAGTTGGGGTCTTCTCCAGCAAGGTGTTGTTCAGAGGAGGGTTGCTGGCATGGCCTCTGGGTGGATAGGTTGTGTGGCATGGTGCTGGTCCAGGTGGAGAGGGCATCCCACTGGGTCTGTCTTCACTCCCTCCTTTTATAGGGCAGACCTTCTATGACCATAGTGGCAGGGGTATGCCCAGGCAAGGGTCAACCCTGGTGTACTGAGCATGTAATTTCAGGCTACGACATGCAGTTTCAGGTGTGTGTAGTGGTGGGTTGGCTGGTTTCTGCAGCAGTCTTTGTCTTCCAAATCTTGAGCCAGGGACAGTCAATGCAGGGTGATGGTTGGGTCGTTGAGTTGATGGTTTGGTCATTCAGAGGGAGCTATTTTTAGACCTACTGCCACTGTCTCTCAAGGACTCTCATTCATCTGTATTCATTCAGAAACCAATTTACATACTGGTTAGGCATGAGTCATAGGTTACACCTGGGCAGAGGACACAAGATGGAGGCTTGACATACGAAGTGGAAACTTGACATTACTTGATATTACTTTACACATATAGGCCTAAACCATACAGTATTCATGTGAAACAATAAAAATCAATGCAAAAATGATAGGAATATAATGTAATACAATATAAAACAGTACAAATCAATACAAACAGAACAGAATACTATTTACAATATAAAAAGGGGCTTATTACAATAATAGCATACAACTTGTCTTGGCTTACCTAGTACTACTTGTAATCACTTATAAGGGATAGAGAGGGCAGAGAAAAATTTGGAAATGGTTAGGGGAAGGGGAGGGAGTGTATTTTTAAATAAGAAAAAGAAAAACTGCGGGTTTTGCTACATTCCTAGTTCTTGCATGATTCATTTTTGGAGCATAAGTTTGGAGGCTTTCTTTATGATGCATTTAGCATAGAGTGGCCCCATTCTCAAAGAACATACTTTAAATTTAATCCCTAAAGAGAGAACATCATTGTAGTCAAAATTCTAAGGTATTAAAGGCACATGTTAATGGCATGTGTTACAAAAATAAGGTCAACCTCTTGTCAAGCTGACACGAAATGAAAGCGTTAATGGCTACTGCCCTCTGGAAATCCTACTGCAAAGATGTCTCTATAAAGGCTTCAAGATGCATATGTATTTGGTTCATATTTTAACCAAATTTCAGATGTTTCCCTTTGCCAACTGCATCATCCCTGATTTTTCCAGATTGAGCCTAAAACACTTCTATTTCAGCTGTATCTCTATCTCTGCAATACATAGCATGAGCAGGAAAAGGATTTGTCTGGGCTCTTTGAGGTGGAGCTACGATCAACTATTAATCTGTTGGCAATATTGTAAATTCTCACCTTGTCCCACACATTTTCTTTGACTCAGAATCAATCAGTCTTTCTGTACCCTCTTCCTTTTGTAGCTCTTTTACTACCAAGGATATTGTAATGGTTAAATAACAGTAAAAACCCTTTTTGTTATTTGCAGTTATCCATTTGGGAGTCAGTTCATGAATTAGCACACAATTCTGTGACTGTTTTTGGTTTGAATGTTCAATGTTTTCATCTACTGTCCAAATCTAGTTGAATTAAAGTAAAGTAAAATTATAACTTGACAGAAAATGGGTGCAGCTGGATTTAATATTTCACCCCATGTGCGTGATTATACAAATACTTTAACATCAATATGACCATTACATTGCAGTTCTAACAAAACGCATAGGAATGCCATAGTAAAAACAACCCCCTCCCCAAAACAAAACAAAACAAAACAAAACAAAACAGCCCCCCCCCCACACGCATTCTCTTGGTTTACAAGGAAATTAGAAGCTATTTACAAAAAATGTACACATTCTTTTTTTCTGTCTCACCACTCCAAGCCAGATGTTCTTAGCTAACAACAGTTAATTTGATAATATGTAAATTAAAAATGTTTGTGATCTAATAAATAACCATAGAAATTGTATCTACAGTGGAACGTACACAGAGGTAATAAAGAGGGGGGGAAAAAGAGTCATGTTTAAAGGAAAACACCCAAACAAACAATCAGGTAGGCTATGACATACTCAAAAACAGAGCCCAAACAGTCTTTAAATTATCCTTTTCATTGTAGGGTCTGTATATGATGCCCCCCTGTAAGGCTGGTTTAGCCAGGGACATCATCTGTCTCTTGCCGACATGGTTTCAGATGTCCAATGTAGGAGTGTCATTACCTTGGTTTAATGTAAGCATGTATTCTTTTTCTCCTTTTTCAGGAACTATACAAAACTACACAGCCTTTTGATCCCGAGGGTGTTTTGGGTACAATCAACTCAGTTGTGATGGCTTTCTTTGGTCTACAGGTAAAGTCAAAGAGTGTATTTATCTTAAATACTATTTAAGACCTTGTGTTAGCTAATTAAAAAAGAGAAGTGTACCTAGATTTTACCTGTGTCCAATATTCAATTCAAGGCTAACATAAAAGAATCCAGTGGGAAATAAGATGAAGCACTGGAACCAAACCTAAGAAATCATTGCAGTAGAGAATACAAGTAGTTACATATCTTGCTTGCCCAAGAAATAAAGGCAAAGCCCCAAAGTAACCCATAATGCACCTGGCTAATTATGCAATAATTTGTCCTGAGGAGAAGATTACCTCCCAATCCCAGTTGGTAGCCATTACTAGGCAACCATAATAAATGCATGAAACTTTTGGATTACTCCATTTTTGTTGTTTCTCATTTGGTGTATGAGAAGAAATTAGACAAAAATGTGAATATGTGAGCATATTTAAGTAAGTATTACCTCTCCATAATATTGTTTGCTTTTCTTATAATTTAACCTATTTTAAGAATTCAAAAGTTTATTCAACCATTTCATACAAATTGCAAAAGTGTTAGAATTTCCAGGAATAAATAAGATAAAAACAAGATAAATACACTTGATAAGTAGTGTTTCATAATACTTTTTCACCTCTAATACTTGCCCAGTCAGATGGCTCATTACATGTTACCTTTCTAATAGACACCTGGGAGAACGATGCCCACTGAGGACCAACTTACCTTTACCTTTAAAAAAGAGTACAGTTTCCAACAGGTGGTAAATATTTTTCATTTGAGATTATCAACATACATGGAAGATTATAAAGTTAGGATGCTTCTCCAAACACAGTCCCCAGAGCTAGTTGGAAAAGACAAGTAACTCAGCAATTTAGAGGAAGAAAAGATAAAGTTGCTTATTTATTATGCTATATACTGAGAGTGCAGTAGGTATTAGGTGAATACAGAAATTAAACAAGGTGCTGGAATGTTCTTTACATTTCAGTGTATACCTATAATAAATATAGAAGTGCATGGCTGTGTTAGAGTGATGTTGTAGCCATGATGGTCCAAGATACTTGGGGACCTAGGGGGAATCCCTCTAGCCATAACAAAGGTTTTCCTGTGGTAAGTGTACCCAAAGGGGTTAGAGATTTTATGGGGATTTATGGGGAAAGAATAGGATTTATGGGGAAAGAATAAGAGACCTAATGATTTGTGCAGCTTTGCCAAATGACAGTGAAACAGGAGCATAATTGTAAATAAATACTTGAAGGGTGTAAACAAGAATGAAATTAAATTTTTCCTCCTAACAAAGGAAAAAGGGATTTTTGTTTGATTTTTTTTTTTTTTACCAGGAGTAAGGTGAGATATGGAGGGAAAAACAGCCAACAAACCCATTAGACTGAATAATAGGGAAAGGTTACTGTTAAGATACTTTGTTAGACTGTGGAATTGCTTCCTAAGGGAAGTGGTGGGAGTCTTGTATGTTGAGACATTTTAAAACTGGCTGAGAAAAATGTCAGAAGTAGCTCTCTGGTGGGGAGGTATGGGGGTGGGAATCAACTGTTATGGGGACAGGGGTTGACTTAATGGGCCTTTTCCACCCCTTTCATAATTCATGATTCATTAAATAGTAGGCCTGTGCAAAGTGGCTAGTATTTGCTTTGGATTCAGCCGATTCGGGGAACAGTGATTCAATTTGGTGATTTGTATCACTGTCCCCGAACAATTTAGCTGCCACCAAATCATCCAAATCTTCAAATCAAACAGGTCCCACCCCCTGCCAAAGGCTTCTCTGCCTGACCCCAGCATCCTGGCACTTAAAAAAGAAAAAGAAAAAAAGCCTTGCACTCACTGGCTCTTGCCAGCTGGGGGGGGCAATCTCCACTGCAGCCCACTCCCCCCTGCTGCATGGGGGGGCTCTGCCACAAGCCCCCAGAAGCCCTAGTGGCTGCTTTAGCAGCTGGTGTATGCAAGGGTTGTTTTTTGTTTGTTTGCTTGTTTGGGTTTTTTTCAAGAACTGGGAGCTGGGGCTAGGCAGAGCACCATTGACAGGGCTGGGAGAGTGGGCGGGGGATGGGGACTCATCACAGAGCCCCCCATGCAGCATGGGGCAGGGGAGCAGCAGGGATTGCCTCCCTACCTGGCAGGAGTTGGTGAGTGCGGGGCTTTTTTTTCTTTTTCTTTGTTTGTTTGTTTGTTTGTTTAAGTGCCAGGGCCCTGGGGTTGGGCAGTGCAGCCACTGACGGGACTGGGAGAGCAGGTGGGAGTCGGGGGTGCTTAAGGGGGCTGGGGGAGCAGGCAGGGGATGGGACCTGGTGTGGGTCCCCCCATGGTCCACTCCCCCCTTCTCCAACCCTACCCCCTCACTCCCTACTTACCAGCACGGAGTCCGGGTCTAGCTCCCTGCAATGGTGAATAGGGATTGCCCAAATCTGCAAAGCTCTCCAAATTTTTCCGAATCAATTCAGAGAACTTCAAATCGATTTGGACCTTTTTATTGGTCCCCTGATTTGATTCGGATTTGGAGATTCAGCCGCAGAATCAGTCCAAATCTCCTCTGAACTGAATTGGCATCCGAAGCTTCAAAGCCCTATTAAACAGCACCCTCTTTTTGGTGTCATGGGCTACCTCATTGGGTGAATCTCTCTCAGGGGTAAAATGTTTCAGACAGTTCATGGAAACCTTTTGTTTCATGTCCTTTCGCAGCCTTGCAGTATAACTGTATACCTAAAAGCATCATTAGCATTTCTTTATACTGCCTTATGCCCATTTCCCATCAATTGTTCTTGGGCAATAGATTCCATTACTATCATTTGCAAAGATTACTTTTTTTGAGAATTGGGAAATCCAGTCAAAATGTGGGTAATCCTGCAATGTATCAAGAGGAACTTTTAAAAGATACAAAACAAGCATGTCTACTTTCTGCTTTCTAGCATTTTTAAGACTTAAGTTGTTTAACAGATGACTTGTTATGAGGCTGTTAAAAATGGTATTTTTTTGTGTCATTATTCTAAAAAGGGTATTATTTTAATTCTTGGAAAAGTTACTTTTTAAAAATAATTTTATGACCCCCTTGTGGAAAATCTAATTACCAGTAGAATTTTCAAACATAAAGCCTGTTAAACTTTATAGGACTCTTGTTCACTAATTTTATAACTGCAGTTAATTCTCAGACTTGTATGAGGTGTCAGTTCTGTCAGCTGTGAGAGAGGATTAGAAAGCAAGGCTGAAGCAATATTTTACCCAGTGTTTTTCTCATTTGTTGTCAGTGGCCTTTCAACAGAGCACCTCCAGTACAGCTGTTGTGTGACATCATGGCATAGACTAGAAATCCCCACAGACATTTGCTGTGTAAATTTATGAGAGATATTTAAATTCAGGGATTCATTTTTCACTATTTTATTGTTTTAGAGACTTGTAAAATAGTGTTTGGGGAAAAAAGTTGTAGGGTCACTTTATTTATTTTGATTAAACGGAGATAAAATATGGATATTGAACATATTATAATATGCTATAATCAATTATGTCAGTGTACTAGTTTTTCTATTGACAAAATAAAATAAAATTATGCATGAATCGTGTGTGAAAATTAGAACTGGTGAATGCTGTAAGTGCTAAGAGCAGAAAGGATTGAAAAATATGACAGATATAATTTCACTACTCTCCTGAAGTTCCCAGGAAACTTTACCCACTGGATTCAGATAGAGACTACTGATATAATGTATTTGTGACCCTTGCTGGCTGCTTCATGCTCTCACGTCAAAGAACGGGATTGGGTGATGAGAACTTTTCCATTCTCTTTTAGAGAGAATAGGGAGGGTCAGTCACTACATGTCTTAATCTCTAAATTCAGCTGATTTTTTCAGATGGCTGCCTGGGAGCTGACTGAAGACGAAGGCCTTAGGCCCACATTACATTTGTAGTGCTATATACACCTTTGAATTGCTGCAAAAAGCTAGGATGCATACATACAGACTGTCTGTAGTGCCACAAAGAACACGCATCTACCACAAACATGGTTGGTCAGCCACAAAAAAGTTCCCATTTCAAACCACCATTCCATCATATTCCTCTCTCCCTCACCCTTCCAAGTAGAAAGAAAGGAGAGCGCCTACAAAGAGCAGAGCTGCAGCTCTTCCAGGACCTGGGGTGGCAGGTTTGCTCATCTCAGTGAGCTGTCACAAAACCACTGCTGCCCTGAGGGATCAGGAGCTCTGTGATGGGACCCTGCTGCCATCAGTGTAGTAGAGAATATAAGAATACTCCAGGCAATGAAGTACTGGTGTATATCCAAAATCTCCAGATCATAGGCTCTCTGTTTAGGGTTCATGTACAGATATAAGGAGGTTGCAAATTCTGTTATTCCATATTTCTAACTGGATAAGGATGCCTAGAAGAGTGTCCCAATTGGGAACATGGTATGGGAAGGCTGTATAGCTCTTGAGTCAATGCTGGAATAAATATGGGCTTCTAATAGACAACTCTGAGACCATGCCCAAGGCCTTTGAGGTAGATGATGGAGACTTGTGTGTCTGACTAAAATTCTCTGTTATAAAACATCATTTGATTTTAAACATGCTAATGTTACATGTTCATCACACTAAAATGAAAAGATACCCGTGTTTTGCTTTAATTATGCTCTTCTAAAAATATCTTGACTAATTATGTGGGGGGGCTGGTTTGTTGGCAGAAAAAATGCATCTACGTATGAAATTTCTATTTAAAAAGTCTGCCCGATCCAAGATAAATAAATTATATACAATTTTAAAAATGCATTCATACTACAATTTCTAATTAGATTTATGCAATACACATTCAATCGCAAAATGATCAAAACTGAGTTGCATTTTTACAGGTTCCCAAATTGCTTTTAAAAATTGCTATGCTTGTTCTCAAAATGGCCTGTGAGTATGAATAGAAGTTTTTTAAAGCAAAAAAAAATAAGGTCCTTCCCTATTATATATAGAATGGTCACCCAGAACCTTACAGTTCATGATACCCAACATTTCAGCCACAAGGCAATGTGTGACAGAGCACAG